CTTCTGGTGCTGCTTCTGGTGCTGCTTCTGGTGCTGCTTCTGGTGCTGCTTCTGGTGCTGCTTCTGGTGCTGCTTCTGGTGCTGCTTCTGGTGCTGCTTCTGGTGCTGCTTCTGGTGCTGCTTCTGGTGCTGCTTCTGGTGCTGCTTCTGGTGCTGCTTCTGGTGCTGCTTCTGGTGCTGCTTCTGGTGCTGCTTCTGGTGCTGCTTCTGGTGCTGCTTCTGGTGCTGCTTCTGGTGCTGCTTCTAGTGCTGCTTCTGGCATGCTTCTGGTGCTGCTTCTGGTGCTGCTTCTGGTGCTGCTTCTGGTGCTGCTTCTGGTGCTGCTTCTGGTGCTGCTTCTGGTGCTGCTTCTGGTGCTGCTTCTGGTGCTGCTTCTGGTGCTGCTTCTGGTGCTGCTTCTGGTGCTGCTTCTAGTGCTGCTTCTGGCATGCTTCTGGTGCTGCTTCTGGTGCTGCTTCTGGTGCTGCTTCTGGTGCTGCTTCTGGTGCTGCTTCTGGTGCTGCTTCTGGTGCTGCTTCTGGTGCTGCTTCTGGTGCTGCTTCTGGTGCTGCTTCTGGTGCTGCTTCTGGTGCTGCTTCTGGTGCTGCTTCTGGTGCTGCTTCTGGTGCTGCTTCTGGTGCTGCTTCTGGTGCTGCTTCTGGTGCTGCTTCTGGTGCTGCTTCTGGTGCTGCTTCTGGTGCTGCTTCTGGTGCTGCTTCTGGTGCTGCTTCTGGTGCTGCTTCTGGTGCTGCTTCTGGTGCTGCTTCTGGTGCTGCTTCTGGTGCTGCTTCTGGTGCTGCTTCTGGTGCTGCTTCTGGTGCTGCTTCTGGTGCTGCTTCTAGTGCTGCTTCTGGCATGCTTCTGGTGCTGCTTCTGGTGCTGCTTCTGGTGCTGCTTCTGGTGCTGCTTCTGGTGCTGCTTCTGGTGCTGCTTCTGGTGCTGCTTCTGGTGCTGCTTCTGGTGCTGCTTCTGGTGCTGCTTCTGGTGCTGCTTCTGGTGCTGCTTCTGGTGCTGCTTCTGGTGCTGCTTCTGGTGCTGCTTCTGGTGCTGCTTCTGGTGCTGCTTCTGGTGCTGCTTCTGGTGCTGCTTCTGGTGCTGCTTCTAGTGCTGCTTCTGGCATGCTTCTGGTGCTGCTTCTGGTGCTGCTTCTGGTGCTGCTTCTGGTGCTGCTTCTGGTGCTGCTTCTGGTGCTGCTTCTGGTGCTGCTTCTGGTGCTGCTTCTGGTGCTGCTTCTGGTGCTGCTTCTGGTGCTGCTTCTGGTGCTGCTTCTGGTGCTGCTTCTGGTGCTGCTTCTGGTGCTGCTTCTGGTGCTGCTTCTGGTGCTGCTTCTGGTGCTGCTTCTGGTGCTGCTTCTGGTGCTGCTTCTGGTGCTGCTTCTGGTGCTGCTTCTGGTGCTGCTTCTGGTGCTGCTTCTGGTGCTGCTTCTGGTGCTGCTTCTGGTGCTGCTTCTGGTGCTGCTTCTGGTGCTGCTTCTGGTGCTGCTTCTGGTGCTGCTTCTGGTGCTGCTTCTGGTGCTGCTTCTGGTGCTGCTTCTGGTGCTGCTTCTGGTGCTGCTTCTGGTGCTGCTTCTGGTGCTGCTTCTGGTGCTGCTTCTGGTGCTGCTTCTGGTGCTGCTTCTGGTGCTGCTTCTGGTGCTGCTTCTGGTGCTGCTTCTGGTGCTGCTTCTGGTGCTGCTTCTGGTGCTGCTTCTGGTGCTGCTTCTGGTGCTGCTTCTGGTGCTGCTTCTGGTGCTGCTTCTGGTGCTGCTTCTAGTGCTGCTTCTGGCATGCTTCTGGTGCTGCTTCTGGTGCTGCTTCTGGTGCTGCTTCTGGTGCTGCTTCTGGTGCTGCTTCTGGTGCTGCTTCTGGTGCTGCTTCTGGTGCTGCTTCTGGTGCTGCTTCTGGTGCTGCTTCTGGTGCTGCTTCTAGTGCTGCTTCTGGCATGCTTCTGGTGCTGCTTCTGGTGCTGCTTCTGGTGCTGCTTCTGGTGCTGCTTCTGGTGCTGCTTCTGGTGCTGCTTCTGGTGCTGCTTCTGGTGCTGCTTCTGGTGCTGCTTCTGGTGCTGCTTCTGGTGCTGCTTCTGGTGCTGCTTCTGGTGCTGCTTCTGGTGCTGCTTCTGGTGCTGCTTCTGGTGCTGCTTCTGGTGCTGCTTCTGGTGCTGCTTCTGGTGCTGCTTCTGGTGCTGCTTCTGGTGCTGCTTCTGGTGCTGCTTCTGGTGCTGCTTCTGGTGCTGCTTCTGGTGCTGCTTCTGGTGCTGCTTCTGGTGCTGCTTCTGGTGCTGCTTCTAGTGCTGCTTCTGGCATGCTTCTGGTGCTGCTTCTGGTGCTGCTTCTGGTGCTGCTTCTGGTGCTGCTTCTGGTGCTGCTTCTGGTGCTGCTTCTGGTGCTGCTTCTGGTGCTGCTTCTGGTGCTGCTTCTGGTGCTGCTTCTGGTGCTGCTTCTGGTGCTGCTTCTGGTGCTGCTTCTGGTGCTGCTTCTGGTGCTGCTTCTGGTGCTGCTTCTGGTGCTGCTTCTGGTGCTGCTTCTGGTGCTGCTTCTGGTGCTGCTTCTGGTGCTGCTTCTGGTGCTGCTTCTGGTGCTGCTTCTGGTGCTGCTTCTGGTGCTGCTTCTGGTGCTGCTTCTGGTGCTGCTTCTGGTGCTGCTTCTGGTGCTGCTTCTGGTGCTGCTTCTGGTGCTGCTTCTGGTGCTGCTTCTGGTGCTGCTTCTGGTGCTGCTTCTGGTGCTGCTTCTGGTGCTGCTTCTGGTGCTGCTTCTGGTGCTGCTTCTAGTGCTGCTTCTGGCATGCTTCTGGTGCTGCTTCTGGTGCTGCTTCTGGTGCTGCTTCTGGTGCTGCTTCTGGTGCTGCTTCTGGTGCTGCTTCTGGTGCTGCTTCTGGTGCTGCTTCTGGTGCTGCTTCTGGTGCTGCTTCTGGTGCTGCTTCTAGTGCTGCTTCTGGCATGCTTCTGGTGCTGCTTCTGGTGCTGCTTCTGGTGCTGCTTCTGGTGCTGCTTCTGGTGCTGCTTCTGGTGCTGCTTCTGGTGCTGCTTCTGGTGCTGCTTCTGGTGCTGCTTCTGGTGCTGCTTCTGGTGCTGCTTCTGGTGCTGCTTCTGGTGCTGCTTCTGGTGCTGCTTCTGGTGCTGCTTCTGGTGCTGCTTCTGGTGCTGCTTCTGGTGCTGCTTCTGGTGCTGCTTCTGGTGCTGCTTCTGGTGCTGCTTCTGGTGCTGCTTCTGGTGCTGCTTCTGGTGCTGCTTCTGGTGCTGCTTCTGGTGCTGCTTCTGGTGCTGCTTCTGGTGCTGCTTCTGGTGCTGCTTCTAGTGCTGCTTCTGGCATGCTTCTGGTGCTGCTTCTGGTGCTGCTTCTGGTGCTGCTTCTGGTGCTGCTTCTGGTGCTGCTTCTGGTGCTGCTTCTGGTGCTGCTTCTGGTGCTGCTTCTGGTGCTGCTTCTGGTGCTGCTTCTGGTGCTGCTTCTGGTGCTGCTTCTGGTGCTGCTTCTGGTGCTGCTTCTGGTGCTGCTTCTGGTGCTGCTTCTGGTGCTGCTTCTGGTGCTGCTTCTTCAGCACATATACCGTATACTGAAATCTGTTGACACCCACACCACACTTGCTACCTACCGTATGAGGAAAATGAGGTAAATTTTTTATCAAGCCTTCACAATATACACAAAACGCAAAGTTGCACACACTGTACCTATGAGCCATACCATATACTGTGGACACACCACAAATGCAGGATACGCTTCCTCTATCCCTCTGTTGCTGTCTTAATCTTCCATGCCTTAAGTATTTTCTCCAAGGTGAGTCAGTCTTCCCTTCCCATCCCACTCAGTCAATATGGCCCCTCACACCACCCCCACCCACCAGGAACCTAGCCTGCTCTGCTCCTCTGTCCAAGATCTCTGAACCCTCTGCCCCTATATCACTCCTCCATGCCTCCAGCTTCTCCATTACAGGGTCTCTTCTCAAAAGGACTTCTCTAACTCATCCGACGCAGTGCATAAGGTCTCTTTACCCTTGTGTGCCTAGATTGTTCCTCCACGCATTAAGTATTTGCTCCAAGGTGAGTCGGTCTTCCCACTCAGTCAGAATGGCCCCTCGCACCACCCCCACCAGGAACCTAGCCTGCTCCTCCGTCCACTGCCCCTCCAAGCTCTTATCCACCACCTCACTGTAATCCGCGAAGTCTGGATCGCTCAGCTTCTCCCTGGGCTCTTGAAAGCCCTCGTCCAACGCTGGGTATCCTGTCACGAGCTCTAGCAGGAAAATTCCAAAGGCGTATGTGTCACAGTGTGCGGATAGGTATCCTGATGAGGGGAGAAAAGGGAGCAGAGCAGAGCAGTAGGATAATGAAATGAAAGGACTCGTCTAGCGCGGCTTTATAGGCGCCTCAAAACGCGCAGTACCCAGCGACAAGCTCCAGCAGGAAGCGTACGAAAGTGTGTGTATGTGTGGCAGTGCGCGGATGTGTGGCAGTGCGCGGATGGGTATCCTGAGGGGGAGGAGGAATTGGGCAGCGGGATGATGAAAGAGTCGTAACAAGGGGTATCTGGTTCGGAGTCTACTGTATTGTAGTTCTTTGTGTGGCTCCAATAAGCATTCAGATGCTTAGTTAGTTGACTTCTGAGTCGACTCAAAAGTCACACGGCAGCTCACCTCTCGCGAAGTATGAAGGGTCCATATAGCCCATCGGCCCAGCCATTCTCTAACCCGACTACGAAGTTGTCTAACCACAAAAGGGACAGAAAACCAACCCCAAATCTCAGCTCACAAGGCGCAGCCAACCAACCCCAAAGCTCACCTCACAAGGCGCAGCCAACCAACCCCAAAGCTCACCTCTCTCAAAGTAAGCAGGGTCCATATAGCCCATCGACCCAGCCACTCGCGTCGTGACATGTGACTTGTCCCCGCATGACTTGGCCAATCCGAAGTCCGCCACCTTGGGAACGAGCGTCTGGAGACATGCAGATACCAAGAAGAGAGAGTTGGAAGGGAGAAATTAGTTTATGTCGCTTTGCGACGCCTAATCAACAATTGAAGCGGCAGAGGGGATTCAAGCGCTCATTGAGTGCTTCAACGATTGCACGCCAAATCACGTGATCCCACCTCAAGCAACGCGATACACAGCAGACGAAACAAGGCAATGCATTGAAAATAACGGCATGTATAATTTGCCTTCGTTAGAATCACATTGGTGTGACTCACCTTGGTTAGAATCACATTGGTGTAACCCACCTTGGTCAGAATCACATTGGTGTGACCAACATTCATTAGAATCACATTGGTGCGACCCACCTTGGTGAGAAGCACGTTGGCACCCTTAAAGTCGCGATGAATGAAGCCTGCCTTTTGAATCGCAGCCAGCCCCTCCAGACTCCCCTCTGCTACACGCAGCCGCTCCTTCCAGGGGAAGGGCTTTTCTCCATCCCTTGCTGGTTGGAATAAGAGGGGTGACAAAATCACATATCAATATTCGGCCTTCCCAGAAAAGGGTTGTTCACCAGTCCTTGCAAATATCAATATTCGGCTTGGAAAGGAATGGGTGAGAGAGAACTATGAGCACCCCAGCACATGCAAGGAAGGAAATATGAGCCGGTCAAGCCGGTGCTGCGAATACGCGGCATGTGTTGTGGAATGACCCCCCCGCCCACCTCGTCCCCCAAGTCCCCAAGTCCCCTTGGCATCCCAGCACAAGGAGCTATGAGCCGGTCAAGCCGGTGCTGCCTGCTGTTCATACCACCCCTTTCCACCGCATTACACCCCATTCCATCGCATTCCACCCCATACACACCCCCGTACCTTTTTCTAGCCGCTGTGAAACATCGCCCCCAGGGACGAATTCTGAGACCATTGAGATGTTTTTTCCCATCACGGCCATTCCCAGCAGCCGCAGCACGTTGGGATGGCGGAGAGCCGTCATTACCATGATCTCCGTCTGCCACGTGGTGGGGGAGAGAAGGAGGAGGGGGTGAAGGAGGACATGAAAAAAAAAAAAAGAGGAGGTGCTAATGCGTTGGGGCCATGATCTCTGTTTGGCACGAAAAAAGGAGGAGAGGGTGAGAGGGTTAGAGACTAAACATATGAGGTTAATTGGTGGAGGGCTGTCCTTGCCGACAGTCACTCACCATCAGCTGCTCCCTTCCCCCAGAGTCTTCTTCCTCCTCCATATGACACATCTTCACCGCAACCGGAACAAATCGCTTCCCATCCACCTCCACCACTTCCAACCCCTCCAATGTCTCCTCGAGTCCCTCCTCCACCTCCTCCGCCTCCCCATCCTCCCCGATCTCCCCGTCCCCTTCCCCCCGCGCTCCCCCCCCCGGCAGCAGCAGCATGCCCTTGTAGACGGCTCCGAAGCCGCCTTCCCCCAGCTTGGTGCGCCAGTCGCCAGTCGCCCGCCGCAGCTCCTCCTGCGAGTACCGCGGCAGCGCGCCGTCCGCGCCCACCGCGCGCATCACCACGGGCTCCAGCGGACCATCCTCTGGGGGAAGGGGGGAGGGAGGGGGGAAAGGGGTCAGATAAGGAGAATATGGTCCTGCCGATATTGCCCCCACCTCCGCACCGCCACGGGCTTAATTGTAAAAGGGGAATTGCGGGGGGAAGTGGGATGTGCGTGCGTGCGTGCGTGCGTTCGTGCATACGTGCGCATGTTTGTAGTGTGCGTCCTTTCCTGAAAATTGACCAATAAGAGAAGGCGGGATTGCGGTCAACCCAACCCAATCCGAACCCACCAGCAACATTTCATACTGCATTGTCAAGCCAAACATGGCGCGTTCGAGCCGTTGCGCGTGACTCACTCGTGCCTTTGCTTTTAAGTCGACTCAAAAGGCTACTACATTATCAAGACGAGCATGGCGCGTTCAAGCCGTTGCGCGTGACCTACTCGTGCCTTTGCTGTTGAGTCGACTTAAAAGGCTACTACATTATCAAGCCGAGCATGGCGCGTTCGAGCCGCCTCGTAACTCACTTGCTTTCGAGCCTTTGCTTTCAAGGCCGCGTGGCGACGACGGCCCTCCTCCGAAGCAGCAGAAGACCATTCTCGAGGCTCGGTGTGCGATAAAGAGAAACTTAGGATTTTGAAGCTTGACCTCGGAAAGCGACGACCGCGCTGGCAGGTGGTGTTGATACGGTATGCTACAAGAGTGGTCAAGTTGTGAGTCGACTCAAAAGAAGATTTTGAAGCTTGAACTCGCGAAGCGACGATCGCGGTGGCAGGTGGTGTTGATGCGGCCGTATGCGAAAAGTGGTTAATATAACTACCGTGAGGTGCTAGGGTGTTTCTTCCTCCTTTGGTTGGCGTGTTTTGTTAAAAAAAGCACGGCGTCTAAAGCACGGCGTCTTGAACCCGCACTATATGCTAACTAAGCGAACCGTTTAAAAAGCGGTTTAAAAATGTGCACGATGACAACGAACAAACTAAGCGATGTACGAGATGATAAGCACCCTACGTGTTCCTGAAGTTCTGTACTCGGAGATAATACACCCTATTTCGCGCTAGAAGAACATCTGGTTGTGGAATCTCAGCCCGTTGTAGAACCTCACCACGTTCAGATTGGTGCTATCACAAACGATACAAGAACATTTTGTCGCGATAATGATGACAGGGTGTAGAGCGTTCAGGTGACGAATTTGTCACCAGGCTGCTGGTTTATGCTTGCCAAACTGTCTCGATTTCCCAAGGTCAGAGGAATTTTCTGGCACGAGTGATCAGATTTGTGACGGTGGCATATGATTGGTGGAATTAGCAGAACAGCTGTCGTATGCACTGTTCCGTTTCTGCTTGACCTTGACCAGCTTGTGGCTGGTTTGTCTCTAGGTACAGTTTTGCCTGCGAAATCGGTTATAATCACAGCCGCGCTAGCTTGCAAAACTGTAGCTACGAATCGGTCGATCGGAGTTTTGGAATTCGAAATAGTGCTGACGTGGAGCACGAGTGGTCGACCGATTTGACACAAATTTGAAAACCGTCGAGTTTAGTTATTTTTCCTGGTGTTGCTGGCACCGAAACAACAGCCACCGTGATCTTGGGAACGGAAGTTGGAACAGCCAACATCATCACATACTCAGAGTAGGGCAATCCAACTTCGGGTCTTCAGGGCACTGTTTGGGTATCAGTACACTTTGGGTCATAAAAGGAGTAGTGTCACTAAAATACGCCTGAATGGTCTTCCAAGAATCTCGGATGACACGAACAGTGCCAATGACCCGAAGTTGGATACGCCTTAAACCGCCACCGTGATCTTGGGAATGGAAGTTGGAACGGCCAACATCATACATACTCAGATTAGTCCCGAGCGGGTTTTCAGGTGGAATCAACTTTGATTAGTCGTCGCTTTTTAATCACATCTCTTACGCTGGTCGAACTCTTTAGGCAGTGACAAAAAAGGGAGCGTCTAGTCTACCCTTCCGATCTGGATATTTTAGATTAAAGTACGAATTGTTTTTGTAGGGCAGAAAAAATAAAACCCTTAGGGAACCTGGACGCATCTCCCGGAGAAATAAATCCGAACATGGAAAAGGGCATTGTTTTAGGGTTGATGCCTAGGTGGATTGCAATGTTTTTTTCCAATACACTGGGTGGCTTCCCGTATTTAGGGTTGATGTGTCCCGAAATTCATCTACGCTCGCTACAAGTTCTTTTTTCAAGTGCTGTATTTTTTTGTAGTGACTGTATACAGAAAATCACCAGAAACACCTACGACTATATCGCGAAACTATGTTTCTGTTGGTGATTACACCTGAGAACCCGCTCAGGAATACTTTGAGTATGTATGATATTGGCCGAAGTTGGAAAGTACAGAGTGTACATGAAGACGAAATGCGATTGGCGGACGAACTTTAACGAAGTTGAATAATTGGATGAGAATGACGCGCCGCGATGGGAGGCGTGAAACGTGCGACAATGGAGGTCGCGCCACTGTCGCTAGCGCTTCTGAAGCCGTCAAGGTAGTGTACTGTACCCCCAAGCACGGTGCGGCGGCGACATAGCACGCGGTTCAGGCTGAGCTGGAAACCGACAACCAAGCAGTGCAAAATCACCAAGAAAATGAAACTCTCGCCGCTTTCAAGAAAATGCTGCAAGGGACGCAACGGGTTATACGCCCTTGCCGGTCAGGTGGGGTTTGGGGGGAACGCATCAACTGCGTTGGCACGAAACATTGCCACCAGTAGTGACTTGCCTCCCTCCCAGACCGGACCCCACCGATTGACGTACCTCTCACAAGAGAGCGGTTGAGTACGATACTGTGCACTCAGGAGTTCTCGTTTACCACTCTGAACCGCTCTACTCACCAGCCTGAACACTCCTCGACCACGAATTGCAACACAAGCGAGCGTGCGAGGTAGTGTTTGGTTCCTCACCCAGTTGCGAACGTCGTGAAGTGTTTTTTGAATTTCGATTGTGCAATCGAATCGCGTGGAGAAACTGATCGCGTCGTGCATTCAACGGATACTTTGAGACTTGCCGTCCTCACTCATCCGTCCGAACTAACCTATAGCCAGGACAAACGCATCAGAAGTACTAGAGGATCTAATAATCGACTGAAAATCGACGCCGAAGTGCAGCAAACACCTCGAGTACGGAGAAACGGTTCTGCTCGTCTCGTTTGCAATTGGTCGATCCTCAGCATGACCTTTATTCTTTTGAATGGCTAGATGTCTCGTTATCCGCTTGGGACAACGAGAGCGCGGGGGTGAGTATGTCTAGTCGTTTATGAACTTGAGCTAGGCTCGGCAACCTTTCGAGCGACAGCCGTAGCATACCGCATCTCCACAGCTTACCACGGCGATCATCTTTTCTAGAGCCACAATTGTAAATTCGCGGAATTCTCCTAAACGCACCGCGCCTCGCTACTAGCGCAAAAAAGTGTCGGTCCGAAATGCAGCCGGCCAGCTAGGTGGTCCACATTGTGTCATTTGACCCCCCAAAAGTGTCCAAAAAGAGTCTTCACCCAAAATTGAAGGGTCTAAAAATGTCCGAAAATTAGCCAAAACGCGAAGTATCCGGAATCTGTCCAAGAAGTCTCCGATTCATGTTACTATGCAGAAGGTCGGGGATCGATGCTTGCCTGGTGCACTATACCGAACACAAAATTGTTAGATTAGGAAAGAAAACGAACACTCCCAATTATAAGTTGCTTTTTACTAGCTAGAATCGATCTCGCGATCTCCCAATCGCACGCGCGATTCGTAACCACTAAGCACCTCGGTTGTAAACCAAGCAAGTTGGTTCAATTAAACTCAAAATCCAATCAAAAACTCCTTCGCAACATGTTGACACCTGTTGTCAGTGTTGCCACCTGTCACACCACCTGCCACACAAACGCCTTCCTGTGCAGGTTAGGCTCGGAAAACATTAGCCACAGCTACCTACACACCTTACCAAACTCATCCCCCAACCACTCTCGACTTGTCCATCCCTTTCAGATCTAGATGCTCCATTTTTTAAACTGAGCTTTTCACTCGAGCATTTCTTGCCCAACATTTGTTCGCACGATCTGTTTTGGTTAGCCTAGCACTACGACTTTTGTAGAACCAATCTAGCTTTGCGGATGTTATACATTTAGGTTTATAAATCCAGTTTCTGCTTTTCTATGCAACAATGTCATGGTGTTCATCGCTTGCTGAGATGTGCGCGGTCCTACGTTTTTTATTCATTCATACAACCAGAATAACGCATTCCATGACGTCGTTTACTTATACCGCTCCTATTTCCAATATCTATCTATCCCCAGTGCAGCATTTGACGGTCTTCTTTTTACGTAACAAGTTATTCAACTTCGGGCGCTGCTAAGGAGCGCTACGGGCACTGCTAAGGAGCGCGATGGGCGCTGCTAAGGAGCGAGACTGACGCTGCTACGGCGGGTGCTGCTAAGAGACGAGATGGGTGCAACTTAAGTGCTCGACGGGCGCTGCTAATGCGGCTGCTGCTTAGAGGCGCGATGAAGAGCGGTAATTACATTGTTTAATTCAATATGAACCTGTGTGTTAACGGTTGCTAATCATCGCTTACCTTCTGATGTTTGTTTCAGTTGCATTTGGTGAAGATTTCCTTCATAGAGGGTGAATGTGTCATCACGCAGGTCGGTTTGTTTGATTCAATGTTGGCATTTTTTGTGGTTACCGACTTATACGTACATACAAGCTTCACGTTGATTTCGCGGTTTTGTTTGTTTCCTCCCCTTTGAAAGTGCTCGCAATCTGAAGGTTTTGTTTAATATTTCACAGCCGCCATTTAGTTCTCTATCACTAAGGTACGCGTCGGGCGCTGCTTTGTCAGGACGCTGCAAAGGGTCGTGACGGGTGCTGCTTACCCTGTTGCTGGTAAGAGGCCCCATCAAAGGTGGTGCTCAATTTGCTTAATGATTTGTTGATATAGCCAGTGTGTCTTACACTTATTGGTTTTTCTTGTATTCAGAGATGTATTAATCACCGTGTAAATGGAGATGTTTGTTTCAATCGTTTCTGGTGACTATTTTCAACCTTGTTGGACAATGTGTCATCAGTCACCACGGTTTGTACGTTTTAGTATAAGCAATTTTGTAGTTATTATTTTTTGGAATGGACCTTGTGGCTCATTCAATATTGTTCTTCAATCCGTGCAGGTTATTTTTCTTTTAAGCATTAACTAATGGGGGTTCGTATATTTATCTGGCAATGCATTATTTAGTTTCTAGCAGTTTGTATAAGTAGAAATGCCTTTGCATGTTCTTTATTAAAAATCATGTAAACAATGGTTGGGTATAAATTTTATTGGTAAAACGCATCTTAGTATATCGGGTACGTGATGTACACATATTGCCTTCGCTTTTCGTATTGTCCAAATGGACTCTTCGCGGACTCTTTGGTCGGACCTAAAACAGACTCCGGAATGTAGCAGGCCTTGGTCCAAAAAGTCTCTTTTTCTGCACGTCCGGAATCCGTCCAGAAAGAGTCCGTTCGGACTCTTGGGGACAACTTTGGGACGCTGGAAAATGGAGATGCAGACCTTCTTCTCCTGCTTCGGCGGCCCAATCCCGACTGTCGAGACAGCAGAACGGCCGACCCACGAGACGGCAGAAAGGCCGTTCGTCTCATCCTGCTATGGGGGGATGCAGACCCATGGGACGGCACAAAGGCCGTCCTTCTCGTCCTTTTTCGGGGTCTTTCCGTCGTCTTCCCGCGGATCCACGGGTGCGTCGCGGTGACGAGAGCATGTGCTACTGCCGTCCATAGCCGCGGGCGAGTCGCGGTGGCGATGCGGGTGGTGGTGGCGGACGGCACGCTCCCTCAATCACTCTTTCCCTCTCTCCCCGCCACCTCCCTTCACCGAGGGGATCGTGCGTTGATGCTCATGGCGCTGTGGGCGGTGTGGGGAGGGGGGAGGAGAGGGGGGGGGGGGAGAGAGGGAGGGGGGAGGAATCGCACGATCAGATTCCCGCTCGTTTTCTTTTCGGACATCCCATCCCACGAACGCGATCGAAGCCCAAAATGGGCGCGAAACGAGCCAACGTGGCCCGTGCGATTTTTTTTTAGCCGTACGCTACTGTCTTGACGTTTTCTGTTACCGTCAAGTCCGCCAACGCAAGGACGGCGTAACAGAACGTCAGCGTTGGGCCTGGGCTGGAAAATGGAAACTAGCGAATTCGAAATCTTCCCGCAAGAAACACCGCGGCCTGGGCCAATCTCTTCGACTTTTCCCCTGATGAGAATCCCGCAGAATCCCGCGACAAGCAGAGCGCGGAAGCGAAGTGATAGATTGTTTGGCTCGAACGGTACTCTAGCTGGAACAGTTTATGGACATCGAGCCGCGTGGAAATACATGTTCTGATTGCGCGGGAAAACCTCGATGTGTAGAGTAGCCAAAGCAGTTGGGAAAGAAAGTGTGACCAGTTCACCACTTTGAACCGCTATGCACCAGCCTAAACATCTATGCGAGAAAGTGAACAAATTTTCTGGACCTATCTGCATCTGACAAATGTTGCTTTCTAGGTTACAGAGCAGCTACGGCAATAATTTTCTTGGAATCCGACACAAAAGTACAGTACACCTAGCCACCGCTATTTTCAACTTCTGACCTTGGCACTGTTCCCGATTTTCATGTAATCCCTGCCCAGCTTTTGGGGTTTTCTGTTAGAAACCTCGTTATAGGGGACTATGAATGACATCAAATGGAGATTTCAATCGGGCGAGTGTAAGACAATTTCGGCTCGTGTGGAGTCTGCTTGTTGTTGCGCATCCCATTGCGTAGCTTTCAGGAGTCAGGAACTAACTCTGCGTAGAGCGTATGACGTCCGACACAACCCTCGGTCAAAAACGTTTTGAAGGGTGCCTACCCCTTTGCACACGTGGGGGTTGAAGATAGACCGAAAGAAAATAGCGGTGGTTAGGTGTACACTTACAGTGGGTTGTTTAGATCATCGCGACTCTAAGGGCGTGTAACTTTTTTCCGAACCGGCAAATGTCCGGACCTCGCCTCTAAAGCGACCGGACAGCCTCGGTACGGACGTCTGGGGCCTTTGGTCCGGACATAGGCCCGTCCGTACTTCATAAGTGGAACTTTTGTGTTTCCAAATGTTCCGCGACACACGACAGGTTACGAGTGCTACTCAGCACTCGCTATTTTCGTACACAAATGCATGCGACTCGCTTGTGCCACTGTACAATATTTTCGCCGCCAATGACAGCAAGCCTGAGTCGGACGGTCCGATTTCACTTCGGACACTGTACGGACAATTTCCACGCGCCAAAAACCTGCAAAAGTGTCAGACACCGTCCGTACCTATGCGACGTCGCCAAATTAGTGGCGAAAAGCCTAACGAGCTATGACGAAACATGTAACCACACGGGTCGTCCGGACGGCCCGAAGTCCAGACGACGGTTCGAAAAAAAGTTACACGCCCTAACGTAAAAGCGTTACAGAACGTCTTGAGCTAGGCTCGGCAAAGAAACGCGCAACAACACTCAGCGTAGCATACCGCATCCACACCACTTACCACCGCAAACTTTCGTTTCCGAACCTGAGGCCTCAGTATGCCGAACTTCTGTTCCTGCTTCGGCGGAATCCCGACCCACGAGACGGCCGAACGGCCGACCCACGAGACGGCACAACAAGAGCCGTCTGTCTCCTCCTGGTTCGGAGGTATTGCGTCGACTTTCGGTGGAGCAGCGGGTGAGCTCGAGAGGTCTCTGCTATTGATGTCCATAGTCCATGGTTCCTGATTTTTGAGCATTCTAAAAAGTCGTCCATAGTTTGTGATTTTAGAAAGCCTCGTTGCTAGTCAAATTTTCCCCCGTCACCCCACCCTTCGTCCCGCTTCCCCCTTCCCCGCTTCTGCACCGTCCCGCTTCCCCTTTTTCCCCTTTTCTTTCTTCCGTCCCCCTCCCCCGTTTCCCCGTTGTTCCGCCCTCGTTGCTAGTCAATTTTCCCCCCTTCACCCCACCCGCCTTCCCCCTTCCCCCTTTACCGCTTCCGCACCTTCCCGCTTTCCCCCTTTTCCCCTTTTCTTTCTTCCGTCCCCCTCCCCGTTTCCCCGTTGTTCCCAGCAGAGCATGAATTAAAGCCCGTGGAAATGAAGGCGGTGGGGGCGGAGGGCGCGCTGCCGCGGTACTCGCAGGAGGAGCTGCGGCGGGCGACGGGCGACTGGCGCACCAAGCTGGGGGAAGGCGGCTTCGGCGCCGTCTACAAGGGCATGCTGCTGCTGCCGCGCGGGGGGAGTTGGGAAGGGGGCGGGGGAGACGGCGGGGGAGGGGGTAGGGAAGGGGTTGGGGAGGATGGGGAGGAGGAGGAAGTGGAGGGGTTTGAGGAGGGGCTGGAGGGGTTGGACGTGGTGGAGGTGGATGGGAAGCGGTTTGTTCCGGTGGCGGTGAAGACGTGCTTGACAGAGGGCGATGTGCACGGGGGAAGAGAGCAGCTGCTGGTGAGCCTTTGCCGTGGTGGTAAGTCGGTTCCTCCTGACCCTCCCTGGTGCACGCTTCATGTACGTCTGCTCATGCTTCACACACACACCTGATCTGCTCCTCATGCTTCATTCACACACACCTGCTCTGCTCCTCATGCTTCACACACACACCTGCTCTGCTCCTCATGCTTCACACACACACCTGCTCTGCTCCTCATGCTTCATTCACACACACCTGCTCTGCTCCTCATGCTTCACACACACCTTCTCTGCTCCTCATGCTTCACACACACACCTGCTCTGCACCAGTTAACTCGACCTGTTTTCTCAGCCATTGACTCGACATGTTCTTGCAACCCAAGCTACCCGCTACCCTCTCCTCCCTCCCCCCTCAGATGGAAATCATGGTAATGACGGCTCTCCAGCAGTTTTCCTCGCCCTTCCCCTTCCCCCTTCCCCCTTCCCCCTTCTCCCTTCCCCCTTCCCGTCTTTCCTTCGCCCTCTCCCCCCTCCCCTCTCCCCCTTTCTCAGACGGAGATCATGGAGATGAAGGCCCTGCACCAGTAAATTCGACTTGTTTCTCTCAACTCAATCATTCATTGGCCCTTCCTGCTGCCATCCCCCGACCCCCCTCCCTCTCTCCCCCCTCAGACGGAGATCATGGTGATGACGGCCCTGCGCCACCCCAACGTGCTGCGGCTGCTGGGAATCGGCATGTGGGGGCAAACCATCTCCATGGTCTCTGAGTTTGTCCCAGGCGGGGACGTTTCTCAGCGGTTAGTGAAAGGTAGGGGGGGATGTAATGCGGTGGAATGGGGTGGAACCGGGTGAGCATATGTACAAATGATGTCTCAAACCATTTCAATGGTCTCTCAGTTCGTCCCAGGTAGAGATGTTTCTCAGCGGCTAGGGAAAGGTATGGAGGGGAAACCATCTCAAACATGGAATGGGGAAACCATCTTAAGCGGTGGAATGGGGTGTAATGTGGTGGATTGGGGTGAGCATGTGCACACATGGTGGGACAAACCATCTCAATGGTCTCTGAGTTCGTCCCAAGTGGAGATGTTTCTCAGCGGCTAGGGGAAAGGTACGGAGGGGTGTGGTGGAACGGGGTGTAATGTGGTGGAATGGGGTGAGCATGTGCACACAGGATGGAGCTAACCATCTCAATGGTGAGTTCGTCCCGGGCGGGGAAGCTGTTACAAAAAGGTATGGTGTAATGCGGTGGAATGGGGTGGGGATGTTTTGCACCTGCGGGGGAAAACCATCTCATTGGTCTCTCTCTGAATTCGTACCAGGCGGGGATGTTTCTCAGCGCCCTGCAAAAGGTCCTGTGATGTTGTGTTACGAGGTGTCGTGTGATTTCGTCCCGGGCGGGAATGTTTCTCAGCGCCTCATGAAAGGTCCTGTGATGTTGTGCTACGAGGTGTCGTGTGATTTCGTCCCGGGCGGGAATGTTTCTCAGCGCCTCATGAAAGGTCCTGTGATGTTGTGTTACGAGGTGTCGTGTGATTTCGTCCCGGGCGGGAATGTTTCTCAGCGCCTCATGAAAGGTCCTGTGATGTTGTGTTACGAGGTGTCATGTGATTTCGTCCCGGGCGGGAATGTTTCTCAGCGCCTCATGAAAGGTCCTGTGATGTTGTGTTACGAGGTGTCGTGTGATTTCGTCCCGGGCGGGAATGTTTCTCAGCGCCTCATGAAAGGTCCTGTGATGTTGTGTTACGAGGTGTCGTGTCGCCATGGTGCACAGGGTTCATAGGAAAGGCGTCCCATGTATTGCACCCATCATGCCATGCTGCGCCTACCCTGTCCTCAAACGCTTCTTCTTCCTTCAACTCGATTGATGTTTTGCCCTGCATATCGCAGCTGTGTGGTAGGAGATGGAGAAGGTGCGCCAGGTGTGATGCGGTGAATTGTGGTGTGGCATGGTGTGATCAGTGTGATGCGGTGCGCATACTCTCTTTCCCCCCCCCCCCTTCGCTGTCTCTCTCCTCCTCCCTCCCCCCCTCCCCCCTTTTCTTTTGTATGTTACATGTACAAGCAGCAGCCAAAGGCGTGGAGCCTTTTCCCTGGAAGGACCGGCTGAGCATAGCGGTGGGGAGTGTGGCAGGGCTGGCAGCGATCCACAAGGAGGGATTCATTCACCGCGACTTCAAAGCCGCTAATGTGCTTCTAACGAAAGTGAGTGGGCCCCTGTCATTTGTTGCTAACCGAGGACCGAGGCAGGTTCCTGTAATGGCAGTGTGCGGCGGGGCTGGCTGCGATTTACAAGGAGGGATTTATCCACTGCGACTTAGTTTTGAGTCGACTCAAAACGCGACTTCAAGGCCGCCAACGCGCTTCTCACCAAGGTGGGTCATGCAAAGATGAGTCACCCAATGTGCTTATAACGAATATTGTCCACAAGGAGGGTTTTATCCACCCTGATTTTAAAGCTATCAACTGCTTTTTACCAAGTCGAGTCCCCCTCTAATGTCCTTCAAATGAAGGGAGTCCTGGTAATGTGGCTTTAAGCAAGGGGAATCATGGCCATGTTCTACTAATGAAGTTGAGTCTTTCAATGTGCTTCTAAGGAAGTTAAGTCCTGGTAATGTGCAACTAACAAAGGTGAGTCATGCCAACGTGCTTCTCACGAAGCTCTGACTCCCTCCCAGATGGCAAAATATCCTCTTTTTTGTTTCCTTTTCTATTTGTTGTGTTATTCCATTGCCCTTGCCCTCGCAGGACCTCGTGCCAAAGGTGGCAGATTTCGGGCTAGCCAAGACATGCCAGGACAGGACACATGTCACGACACGAGTGGCCGGCTCGCAGGGCTACATCGACCCCTCATACTTTGAGACAGGTGGGGTGCCTTTCACTTTGTCCATGCATCCGTGTTTCTTTAGACGTCTCCAAACCCGACTTTTATCGAAGCGTCTCAAAACCTGACTTTTATCGAAGCGTCTCAAAACCCGACTTTATCGAAGCGTCTCAAAACCCGACTTTATCAAAGCGTCTCAAAACCCGACTTTTATCACGTCGCCTAGTTTTGAGTCGACTCAAACCTAGTTTTGAGTCGACTTAAAACGTCTCAAAACCCAACTTTTATCACGTCGCCGGCTCGCAGGGCTACATCGACCCCTCGTATTTTGAGACAGGTGGGATAGTTTTCAGCCCACTGATGCATCTGTGTTTCTTCTTCTTCCGGTGCCTTTACTGCTGCTGCCGCTGGTGCTGTCCCAGTGCTGCCGCTGGTGCTGTCCCAGTGCTGAAGCTGGAGCTGTCACTCGTTCTGTCACTCGTTCTGTCACTCGTTCTGTCACTCGTTCTGTCACGAGTGCTGGCACTCTGTCACTGGTGCTGTCATCGGCACTATTTTTAGGTGCCTCAAAAATAATTATTTCCGTGTTCTCCCAGCACCGTTCCCCATTCCTTACCCCCTGTTCAACCTTCCTCCTCCACCCCACGCTGAATGAGTAAGGGCACTCATGCACTTGTCAGCCCACTCCTGCACCCTCCCTTCTAATCCTCCCCTTCCATCCCTCCCTTCTAATCCTCCCCTTCCATCCCTCCCTTCTAATCCTCCCCTTCCATCCCTCCCTTCTAATCCTCCCCTTCCATCCCTCCCTTCTAATCCTCCCCTTCCATCCCTCCCTTCTAATCCTCCCCTTCCATCCCTCCCTTCTAATCCTCCCCTTCCATCCCTCCCTTCTAATCCTCCCCTTCCATCCCTCCCTTCTAATCCTCCCCTTCCATCCCTCCCTTCTAATCCTCTCCTTCCATCCCTCCCTTCTAATCCTCTCCTTCCATCCCTCCCTTCTAATCCTCCCCTTCCATCCCTCCCTTCTAATCCTCCCCTTCCATCCCTCCCTTCTAATCCTCCCCTTCCATCCCTCCCTTCTAATCCTCCCCTTCCATCCCTCCCTTCTAATCCTCCCCTTCCATCCCTCCCTTCTAATCCTCCCCTTCCATCCCTCCCTTCTAATCCTCCCCTTCCATCCCTCCCTCCTAATCCTCTCCTGCCATCCCACCCGCCAGGCTTACTGACAGAGCACTGTGACACCTTCGCGTGGGGCGTTTTCCTGCTCGAGCTCCTCTCAGGCTGCTGCGACCTTTGAGTCGACTCCTAAATTCCCCTCCCCTCCTTTCCCCTCTTCCCCACCCATCAGGCCTCCTGACAGAGCACTGTGACACCTTCGCATGGGGCATCTTCCTGCTAGAGCTGCTCTTGGACTGCTGCATGAACGACCGACCCTTCCCTCCCCTCCTCTCCCCTCCCCTCCCCTCCCGTCCCCTCTCTTCCTTTCCCCTCCCTTCACCTCATCATCTCCTCTCCCCTCCCATCAGGCCTCCTAACAGAGCACTGTGACACCTTTGCGTGGGGCATATTCCTGCTCGAGCTCATCTCAGGCTGCTGCGTGAACGACCGACCCTTCTCACACCTGCAAACTCTAGCTACGGACCCGAATCTCTCAGACTATTCCCAAGTGGTAGATAGGAACTTGGAGGGGCAGTGGAGAGAGGAGGAGGTGCGTGTGGCGCTGTCTGCAATACGCGATGCGATTCAGCCCGAATGGGGAAGCCGACCCTCCACGAAGCAGTTGCTAGAAAGACTAAGAAAGCTTGTACCTGATACCAGTATGAATTAGAGCAGTGAAGTTGGCGTTGTGTGTCAGCCATGCAATCGGCATCAAGCAAGCATTCTTGCAGTGAAAGGAAGGAAAGATGGCCATTCGTTCAACAGCACAATCTATTTCACAGCTGAAACTTGATCCAACACGCACGCACATGTGATGGAGCCTGTAGCATGTGTCATGGTCGTGACGACACACAATATGGGATCTTGGGACCACCACAACGAATTTCTCATCACATAGAAGTGCTGCATTCTTGTCACAGGTGCCACTTCAGGCACTCAATATACATTTGTCTTTATTATCTTATTATGAAGCACATGTGCCTGCCACACTTTGTTTTATACAGCATTTCTAAAGTATTGTGCTACGTGTGCATTCTCAGCACAGCTGGTCGTCTCCCACCTACGATTGTCTTTCACTCTGTCAGCCCTCCACCACACCTTCAGCTTCACCAGCACACCCCCTTGCTAGGTTGGAGATCAGATCAGATCAGATCAGATCAGATCAGATCAGATCAGATCAGATCAGATCAGATCAGATCAGATCAGATCAGATCAGATCAGATCAGATCAGATCAGATCAGATCAGATCAGATCAGATCAGATCAGATCAGATCAGATCAGATCAGATCAGATCAGATCAAATCAGACCAGACCAGATCAGATCAGATCAGATCAAATCAGACCAGATCAGATCAGATCCCTTCTCTCTTTAATTTCCCCCTTTCTCCCTCTTATTACCCTCCCTTCTCCCCCTCATTTCCCCCTGCTAGGTTAGGTAATCAGATATGTTCCCAGCCCTGTGCACGATCTACCACATAGAGCTGTGTGATCTACAACACAGCGCAGCACTGTTCAGCGCCTCCCATCACCTGCCACACACTCAGCATCCCCAACAGCTGCTCCGTGCTGGGCCAACTGGTGAAGCCATGCATCAGAGCATCTCGCATCACACACAGCGCAACCCGTCCTTCACCCAGCTCCACCCTCCTTCACCCAGCTCCACCCTCCTTCACCCAGCTCCATCCTCCTTCACCCAGCTCCACCCTCCTTCACCCAGCTCCACCCTCCTTCACCCAGCTCCACCCTCCTTCACCCAGATCCACCCTCCTTCACCTAGCTCCACCCTCCTTCACCCAGCTCCACCCTCCTTCACCCAGCTCCACCCTCTTTCACCCAGCTCCACCCTCTTTCACCCAGCTCCACCCTCCTTCACCCAGCTCCATCGCCAACCACCCTCTTCAGCCTTTTCAACAGCTGCTCCGTGCTCGGCCGGCTGGCAAAGTCAAACGTTAGAGTGTCTCGAATCACAGACAGCACCCCCTCCGCCTGCTGCCTCTCCCACTGCCCCTCCAAGCTAGCATCCACTACCTGGTCCGGGTCCCCAGTGGCCCTTTCAGCCAGGTCAGGGAAGCAGCGCTCGTGCACCTGGTGGCCTGAGAGGAGCTCTAAGAGGAAGACCCCGAATGCAAACACGTCACACGCTGCTGTCAAGATGCCTGGACGGTGGAGGGGAGGCAGGGGAGAGGGGGGAGGGAGGGAGGTTGGAACGAGGTTAAAAAACGCTCGTGCACAAAGTGGGCCTTTACAGCAAGGTCAGGGAAGCAGCGCTCGTGCACCTGGTGGCTTGAGAGGAGCTCTAGAAGGAAGACTCCGAACGCAAACACGTCACACGCTGCTGTCAAGACGCCTGGAGGGGGGAGGAGGGGAGGAAGGGAGGGAGGAGGGAAGAGGTAAAGGAGGAGGCGGAGAAGCAGCGATCATGCAACTTTGGCCGAAAGAAGAAAGAGGCAAGCTCCAGAAGAAAGACTCCGGACCGGACGCAAACACGTCATACGCTGCTGTCAAGACGCCTGGAGGTGGGTCAGGGGGCGGCGGGAGGCAGGGGAGGAGGATATGGGTAACGGAGGAGGCGGGAAAGCAGCGCTCATGCACCTGGTGGCCGGAGATGAGCTCTAAAGGGAAGGCTCCGGACGCAAACACGTCACACGCTGCTGTCAAGATGCCTGGGGGGGGGAGGACGGAGGAAGAGGAGGGGTCGATATGATGTAGCCGTGAGTGGTGTTGACTTTCAGCCGTTTCCAGCTGCTGGGAAGAATGTGAAACTTGTAACACAAAGATCGATACTGGATTTAGTGTAAGGGGTCGATACTTGTAATCTTGACGCCAAAGCTCACCTGTCTCAAAGTGTAAGGGGTCGACTTGATGTGGCCTTGACGCCAGATCTTACCTGTCTCAAAGTATGACTTTTGAGACGTCTCAAAAATCTTGTCACCAAGAGTGATACTGGAGTTCACCTGTCTCCCAGTGTGAGGGGTCGGATCGATGTGGCCTTGACGCCAGATCTCACCTGTCTCAAAGTATGAAGGGTCAATGTAGCCCTTTGATCCGGCCACTCGCGTTGTGACATGTGTCCTGTCTTGGCATGTCTTGGCGAGCCCAAAGTCGGCCACCTTGGGAACGAGATCCTGCACACGTGGTGCCAAAGCGACAGCAAGAAATCGGAGAAGCTGTTAAAGCAGACAAAAAGAAAGAAAGAAATAAAAAAAGGTGGCCTTGAAGGCGCAATGGATGAATCCCCCCTTGTGAAATAAAAATGATGAGCCCACTGAGATCACTCACCTTCGTTAGTAGCACACTGAGTCGCTCACCTTGCATTACTTACCTTCGTTAGAAGCACGTTGGCGGCTTTGAAGTCACGGTGAATGAATCCCTCCTTGTGGATCGCTGCCAGCCCTGCCACACTCCCCACCGCTATGCTCAGACGGTCCTTCCATGGAAAAGGCACCACACCCCTGGCTGCTGCTTCACAAGAGAGAGAGGGCATGGGAGGGAATCAGGGAAAATAGGGCTTTGTGTGCATGTGGCTGCTGCTTCCAGACAAGGAGAGAGGGATACAGAAGAAAGCACAACAAGTTGCTGCCGTTCGCCCAAAGAAAAGGCTGTGCAGAAACTGGCTGCTGCTTCATTGAAGAGGGAAAGGGAGAGATGGAAGCAAGAAATAACAAGTTATGGCAACCGGGATGAATACACGTGCCCCAACACATGCACACTGCACCGCTCCGTATCACCTCTCTCCAGCCACTCTGTGACATTCCCACCCTGGTCGACCTCAGAAACAATCGCAATGGCTCGCCCCATCCTGTGTGCGCATGCCCACAGCATTTGACCGCATTACACCTCCCCGTACCTCTCTCTAGCCGCTGTGTGACATCCCCACCCGGGAGGAACTCGGAAACAATGGCAATGGCTTGGCCCATCATGGCCACTCCCAGCAGGCGCAGCACGTTGGGATGGCGGAGAGCCGTCATCACCATGACCTCCGTCTGAGGAGGATGGGGGGAGGGAGGAGAGGGTAGTGGGAAGGACCGGGTAAGTTTGGTTGCAAGAAAATATAAGATTCAACGGCTGGAGGGCCGTCATCACCATGATCTCCGCCTGAGGAGGGGAGAGGGGAGGGGGGTCGCAGGGGAGGGGAAGAGAAGGGACACGGAATAGATGAGATAACAAATCAAGATAACTGGTGCAGGGCCGTCACCACCATGACCTTCGTCTGCCACGGTAGGAGGAGGGGGGTCAAGGGGGTGGGGACGGGAGAGAGGGGGGGAAAGGGGGAACAATGGTGGGTCACTCTCCAGAACCAGCAGCACTCACCACCAAAAAACTCACGTTCCTTCGAGGAAAACATAACCTAGCAGCAACTCTCACTCACCAGCAGCACTCACCAGCAGCACTCACCAACAGCATTCACCAACAGAACTCATGTTGCTTCTTGGAAAACCATCATCTATCAGCAACTCTCACTCACCAGCAGCACTCACGTTCCTTGTTGGAAAACCATAATCTATCAGCAACTCTCACTCACCAGCAGCTGCTCCCTTGCCAAACTCGGTGGGGTGGAATGCAGTGGAGTGGATGGGGAACAAGGCGATGTGCACACCAGCGAAAAGTAGGGAGAAGCAAGGAGGTGCAACCAGGTGGAAAGAAGCTACAGCCATTCACCAGCAGCTAACAGCCAGCAGCTAACATCCAGCAGCTAACAGCCAGCAGCTAACAGCCAGCAGCTAACAGCCAGCAGCTAACAGCCAGCAGCTAACAGCCAGCAGCTAACAGCCAGCAGCTAACAGCCAGCAACTAACAGCCAGCAGCTAGCAGCCGGCAGCTAACAGCCAGCAACTAACAGCCGGCAGCTAACAGCCAGCAGCTAACAGCCAGCAGCTAACAGCCAGCAGCTAACAGCCAGCGCCACTCACCAGCACCACTCACCAGCAGCTGCTCTCTCGCCAAATTCTCGTTGTCCTCTGTCCGACAAATCTTCACCGCCACAGGGACAAACCGCCTCCCACCGATCTCCACCACTTCAAACCCAGCCAGCCCACCCATTCCACCACCCCTGCGCACACCCTCCTCTCCCTCTCCCCCCTCCTCCCCTTCCGCCCCCTCCCCTTCCTCCTCGTCCTCCTCCTCCTCTATCTCCTCTTCCCCCTCACTCTCATCCACCTCGCTACCTCCCATCCTGCTCAAAATAGCACTGATCCCGCTTCCTCCTCTTCTCGAAGGCACCCTCACACGCTCAGCGGCCAGCATGCCTTTGTACACAGCACCGTATCCGCCCTCCCCCAGCTTCACCTGCCAGATGCCACGAATGGCGCGCTTCATATCTTTTAAGTCGACTCAAGATTCGCCCCAAATATGAGGCGCCTAAAACAAGGCACCATAACCAACCACCCTCCCCCAGTTTCACCTGCCAGTTGCCAGTGGCGCGCTTCAGGTCTTCCTCTGTGTACCAGGGCAGGTGGCCCTCCCCCCCTATTGGCTTCATCACAGGAAATGGCCCTTCTGTTCGTCTTGCTGTGGAAATGGAGAGAGCAAGCGGAGTGCGCAATGGAAGAGGGCAGGGGGAGAGGGCCAGGGGGAGAGGGCCAGGGGGAGAGGGCCAGGGGAGAGGGCCAGGGTGAGAGGGCCAGGGTGAGAGGGCCAGGGTGAGAAGGCCAGTAGAAGAGGGCCAGGGGAGGTGGACGGGCAGCCGAAAGTGGGGGAAAGGAGAGAATATCATTTTGTGTACCGGGGTAGATGAAGGGGAAGATGGCAATAGGGTAGATGAAGGGGAAGATGGCAATAGGGTAGATGAAGGGGAAGATGGCAATAGGGTAGATGAAGGGGAAGATGGCAATAGGGTAGATGAAGGGGAAGATGGCAATAGGGTAGATGAAGGGGAAGATGGCAATAGGGTAGATGAAGGGGAAGATGGCAATAGGGTAGATGAAGGGGAAGATGGCAATAGGGTAGATGAAGGGGAAGATGGCAATAGGGTAGATGAAGGGGAAGATGGCAACAGGGTAGATGAAGGGGAAGATGGCAATAGGGTAGATGAAGGGGAAGATGGCAATAGGGTAGATGAAGGGGAAGATGGCAATAGGGTAGATGGCATTCCAACCCTATTGGCTTCATCACAGGATATAACCTTCTGTTCGCCTTGCTGTGGAGGCAAGGGGAGAGGAGAAAAGGAGAGGATAACGGGAAAGGGCAGCAGGGGAGGGCAAGGGGAGAGGGCCAGGGGAGAGGGCAAGGGGAGGGGTATGGGCAGCCAAAAGGTTTTGGACAGAGAGAATACCATATCCTCTGTTTACCGGGGTAAAATGCCGCATCGAACTAGCGGGTTCATCAGGGAAAATGGCCCCTCTGTTTGCAATGCCTGTGGTGGCGAAGGGGGAGGACAAGCGGAGAGCGCAAGGGGAGGCGGCAAGGGTAGATGGGAGAGGGGGGGGACAAAGGGAGAGGGCAATGGGAGAGGGCAATGGGAGAGGGCAATGGGAGAGGGCAATGGGAGAGGGCAATGGGAGAGGAAGAGAGAGGGCATTGGGAGAAAGAGGGAAGAGGGCAAGGGGAGAGGTTTGGGAGAGGGCGAGGGGAGACGACGGGGGGGGAGGGGGGGGGAGAAGGTGAGGGAAGAGAGAGAGAGAGAGAGAGAGAGAGAGAGAGAGAGAGAGAGAGAGAGGAGAGAGAGAGAGAGAGAGAGAGAGAGAGAGGAGAGACGGCGAAGGGAGGAGGAGAGGGGAGGGGAAGGGGGGAGGGCAAACAGGGATTGCAAAGGAGGGGCGAGCGAGGGAGAGGGCAAGAGAAGAGGGAAAGGTTTACAGTTGAGGCGTCTCGGTGCAACCTCTGTGGTTCGTTAATGCTATCATGCAGGGACCGAACATGTCTACCCTGTGACTGATTACCGAGTTTTAAGACGTCTCGAACATTTTCAGACCTCTCAAACGTTTTGAGACGTCTCGATGCAACCTCTGAGGTTCGTTTTCTGATATCATGGAGGGACCGAACATGTCTACCCTGTGACTGATTACAAGCGCATGTGTCCTGGATTCGAAATAACGACGCTATGATGGCACGACGGAGTATGTCTGAACCGCAACTGGTTGCAAGCGTTTAGACCGAGGGTCGCATTTTTTGACTTTCAGAAGCGCTTTTACGGTACGACCGAGGGTTTTTCTTCGCTATGAATGATCATAAAAATCGCAATTTCTAGGTCTATGAGACGGAAAAAATGCTCAATTTGCTGCTTATGCGACGACAGACCGTTAACTCACTCTTTCTTGTAGCGAGGTAGTTCAACAGCGAATCCATGACACGAATCCGAAACAAGGCTCGAAGTCACAGCTATGTATGTCGAATCGAATTCGCTCTCTCAAAATTGCCGCCTCCAATACCCCAACTACCCCAACTCGACTGCTCTCTCCCCCCGGGAGTGGATTTCAAGTGGCGAATTAAGTCAGAAAGGTTGACACGCCAAAGCACGTGCTTCTTTCAGTTTTTTTTCCTGGCTTCTCCACCCTCCCAGAAATCCCGGCACACGAACGTGCTTGTTGCGGTAACTGGGACGGACTTGATAGTTGACGGAACAACGAGGAAAGTGGAAAATCAACACCAACAGCGTGAGAGCCTTCCATGACCTCGAGAGGGATTTCCAATAGCTGTAGCTGTCCAACACACGTGTGTGTGTGAGGAGAGGAGGAGCTTGGCTGTTGAGCTGAATGTCGCTGTTCGCTGTTCACTTGTTAGTATTTCCCGAATCAAAAGCAAGACGGAATGATGAAAATCCCCTCGGTGTGATGGCAGTGAGAAGGGTGCGGTGTGATGCGGTTGTAACTACGTGTTTTGATCCGGACGTGCAAATCTGGTATGCTCTCAGGGCGCGTTTCAGGCCTTGTAACAAGTAGCTTCCGAACAAGTTGGGCGTCGCACACGACCAAACTTGTTACGAGGTCGTTTTTCCTGCCTCCAAACAAACTAGTCTGATCACCGTCTACATGAGTCGCGCATGTACAGTGCTAGGTCGCAGTTAGTAGTGTGGCGCGCCAGTTCACCTTCTGCCTGGGCCTGCCAAGGCCAGAATCTGACGGCCTGACGAACCGTTTAGGGTTTGGGGCTGCCGTTAAATTTGATTTTCTGTTGATATTGCTCCATTTACTTAGGTAAAGGGCCATCATTTGTTTGTTTCGAAAATTTTGAAAGGGCGGGTCCAGTCGTCTGGTGGCAAGCAGACGGTGTACGACAACTGACGGTTGATCGTAAACGATCGATTTGCCTCCAGTGGTTAAAACTGAGCTGTTACGAGGTTCAGGTCGCAGAAACTCGCCCAGCGTCGCGGAAAATCAGAAAGCAGTCGCTTGTTCCGAAGTTGCTTTTTCGTGACCACCTGAAATGCGCCCTCACGCCGTTCAACAATAGTGGACCGGACCAGACTTTGGAGGCTGGTTGAGTGAGGAGAGGAGGATGTGGGTGTGGTGCCAAACCCTCCGGCCAAGCCAACCAATGCGGAGTTTTGCTTTTGGGTTTTCAGATAAGGAGGGACAGCTACTGACGACCCAGCGTTTTCGCGGGAACTTCATCGCTATTTGGGGACAGTTTCCTGCCATCCGCCCGTCAGACAGGAAACCTAGTGCGACAACTCAGGAATTCGTACCACGTTCATCCACGTGGCACAAATTCACAAGGAATTAGAAAAAATTATCACTCCACCTGACCAAAAAAATAAAACCCAATCGGAAAGGGATGCGACTCGGGGAGGCATCAACCCTAAAAATCTCGAGGGTTCACGCAGTTAGGGTTTATTCCTCCCTAAAATGCGTCCAGGTCCGTAGGGGTTTTATTTTTTTCTGCCCTGCCCTTTTTACTTTCTCCCAAATGTACGACACGTGGGTAAACTTGGTTCGTATTCCTGAGTTGTCGCACTAGGTTTCCTGTCTGACGGGCGGATGGCAGGAAACTGTCCCCAAATAGCGATGAAGTTTCCCTGAGAACGCTGGGTGGACAGTAAATTTCCCTCAAAATCTGAAAACCCTTTGCTTTTGCTTCGCCTTGCCGCAAGCATCGCCCACCGATTTCTCCAGCGCGCCCCGCCACAAGCTGCTTTCAAGCCGAACAACATCGTTGTGAGCCACGTCTGCCTAACCACAACCAAACAAAACTCCGCTCATATGAACAGCCAAAGCTGGTTTCGAACCGACCAACCAATGTGTAGACTCGCCAAGGCTACGCATATCTCATCCACAACACCCCGAACCAAACGACCAGCCGCCAAAGAATCTGGGGAGAGGCTACCTGCGGCTGCGTTCGGTTTGGAGTCCAGGCGCCAAAGCTAGGTTTATCGGTTCGGTGCGGACGTGGCTGATTGATTTCATGAGCGACACGGCAATTTCTTGGAAGGTGGGGCTAGGATTCGGAAGACCAAGACCAAACTGTAATCCTCCCACCCAAACCGAAATTCGAAAGCAGCAGCCAATTTTGGTTTGGGTGGGAGGGTTGCCTGGTTCTGGGCCGAAGAATACAGTTCTCGAGGTTCCTGTCTCCAATTATCTTCTCCGCAGCTTTTGCTCCCATATTCAGCCGACTGTGTTTACGTTCAGCTGATTCAGGGTCCGCGCCCTCGTAGCTCTCAGATTGACTATCAAGGTGTAATATTTCTGAACATTTGAAATTGTAAATTTCTCCCTCCACCTGCGCCAGCATGACCGGCGCCGTGTCTCGCGGCCTAGTGTCGTTAGTAGCCATCCCGTTACTCTTACTCGCATCCGTTTCGTCCGCGCAGCAGATCTGCCCGTTCACGGGCAAGCCCCCAACGAAGCCCGCGAAGCCTCTGTACCGATGCGTGGCGGAGAGCGAGCTCGCGTGCTGCTCCGCGTGCGACGACTGGGTCACCGCGGCGACGGTGCTTGGACAGAACGGAACGAGAATCCTGTCGACGCTCTTCTCTCCAGGCACCACATTTGAAGCGCTCGACAAATTCAAAGCCACGCCGGTAAGCTTGGACCAGCGTTTCCTCTTTTTTTTTTTTTAGTTTTAATTTGATTCAAAGAATTATTTATCGGAAACATTTGAAGCTCTGGACAAATTTAAGGCGACGCCAGTAAGCTTAAACCAGCGAACGCCCTCGGGGTGCCTTGTTATTTTCAAACGCGTTTTTTTATCCATGGTACCAGCGTTGTACTCCCCAGCGTTCTGGCCTGTCAACGACGGTTTCGAGCCGACCGACGCCGAGCATTACGATGAATTATGTACCATCTCCTTTTCCCCCACTCCCCCACACTCCTCTCCCTCCCCCCTCTACCCGATTTTAAAGGGCTTCACTGCGCGATAATGTTCGACGGCACGAGCAAGTACCTCGTGTCCCCACCAACCTCTCAGAACCACCCCCCTCTCGCTTCCTCCTCCCCTCCCCTCGTCCTTCGACTCTCCCCTCCCCACCCAGTTTTGCGGGTTCTGGGCGGGAAGCGACACGTGTCTACAGCTGATAGAGGAGGTGTATTGCGCCATTGTGCGCGACGCGGGCGCGAGCAAGTACCTCTCAATTGGCCTCTCAAGAACCCCCCCTTCCCCCACCGCGTTCCTTCTGCGGGTTCCTGGCGGGCGGAAGCGACACGTGTTTGCAGCTGATTTAGGGGCTGTACTGCGCCGTCATGTGCGACGCGGGCGCGAGCAAGTACCTCCCGATCTTTCCCCCTCCCTCCCCTCGCGCCCTTCCCCCCATCAGTTCTGCGGGTTTTTGGCAGGTTGAAGCGACACGCGTCTGCAGCTGATTGAGGGGCTGTACTGCGCCATCACGTGCGACGCGAGCGTGACCAAGTACCCCTCAGTCCTCTCAGAAAAATCCCCGTTGCCAACCCCGTAACCCACGCCCTTCCCCCTCCCTCTCTTCCAACCCCCCTTTCCTCCCCGCGCTCCCTCTCAACCCACTCCTTTCCCCCAGTTCTGCGGGTTCCTGGCGGGCGGAAGTGACACGTGTCTGCAGCTGATTGAAGGGCTCTATTGCGCCATTATGTGCGACCCGGGCGCGAGCAAGTACCTCTCATTCGAGCTCGCGCCGTCGGGGAAGCTCGCGGACAGCAACGGCACGATCCGCATCTGCAATGACTTCTCCAACCGCGTGTACGACGCGTGCCAGTCGCTCGCGTTCCCCGGCGTCGCGCTCACCATCGCGAGCCTTATTAAGAACCCTGCGGTATGTGCCCAGCTTCTCGGCGTCGCGGTCACCATCGCGAGCTTGATTAAGAACCCTTCTTAAGGGGGGTTCGTTTTGTCCTCTCAAAAGAACCTTGCTGATTATGAACCCTTCTCAAGGGAGGTTCGTTATGTCCTCTCAAAAGAACCTTGCTGATTATGAACCCTTTTTGGTATGTGCCAAGGTTACCTTTGAGAGGACTCGAAAATCTTTTCCTACGCGCTTGCCATTGAGAGCCTAATTAAAATCATATGGTATGTATTGCTGGTAATGCTGACTAAGATCCCTACGGGTATATGCTACAGCTGCCCAAAGCCCATCTCAAATCATCCCCTCCCCACAAACGAAGCTGCTTATTCTGTTAGCCAGCTTTCCGCTTCCTCGGAGCAGTACTCAAGAACGGCAGCAATAGGAAGAAACGTTCTAGCAAAGAGACGATAGCCACTTAGTCAAAATGTTAACCCTTAAGAAAGAAATGAGTAACATCCAAACGAAACTGCTTATTCTGTTGGGCCAGTTTCCGGCTTCTTCCATTCCAGCTGCACGGTGCAATTCCGTCCGTCTCTAACCAACCAACATTCCCACTGTCAAATCTTTTTTTCCCTCGGTTCATCATTCCCTGACCAATTTCTCTCTAATCTTGCACTCTGTCCTTCCAAAATTTTGTCCACGGTTGTACCTCCGTTTGGTTAGTATTTGATCATCTTCCTTAAAGTGCTGGCACTGCATCCCCCCCCCCCCCCCCCCCCCCCCCCCCCCCCCCCACCGTTTCAACAACCTCCCAATCATCATTTTCTGACCATAAGTTTTCCTCCTCCCATACCTCCCTTTCCCCTTCCCTTACTACCCCTCCCCTCGTTCTCTCCCAAATCCTTCACACAATCTTGTCCCAAAAAATCCTCTTTTGCAACACCCCATGCCTCAACTATGACTATCTGATCATTTCTATCTGATTATTTCTTTTCCTCCTCCGCCCACCCACTCCCCCACTTCTCCTCTCTCCTCCACTTCCCAACCCCTCCCCCTTCCCCCCCCCTCCTTCTCCCCCTTCCCCTCCCCCTTTCCCTCTCCCCCAGGTCATTCCTGCTCTGTCACTTGTTATGACTCCTCTTGCTGGTGCTGACTACAATCAGACCGTCCTCTTTCCCCTTGCCCCAGCCCATCGCCTCTTCCCCTGCGAAATCCTACACATTCTGTCCTACGAGAAATTCCTGTCATTTGCTGTCACTCCGCTTGCTGGCACGGCAACCCCCCTCACATAACTCAACACCTTCCAACACCTTCCAATCATGACCTTCTGACACATTTCCTTTCCCCTTCCTCCTGTCCGCCTCCCTCCCCTTCTCCCCCAAGATCTTGCATATTCTTTTCAGAAATTACGGTCACTCGTTGTGACTCCGCTTGCTGGCACAGCAAAACCCCTCTCATAGCTCAACACCTTCCAATCATGATCTACTGAACCATTCCTTTCGCCTTCCTCCTGCCCCCCCCCCCCCCCCCTTCCCCCTATTCCCCAAATCTTGCATATTTCAGAAATTTCTGTCACTCGTCGTGACTCCGCTTGCCGGCACGGCAACCCCCCTCAAAGCCCTCAACACCGTGCTCGTTCCCGCCGAAAATGGAACAGACAGTTGCTTCCTCACAACGCCAGGGGATAAATACGCGCAAACCCCCCTCTGCTGCGATAAGCTAACAGGTTTCCCCATGGAGTGCCCGAAAGATCCCAAACACTCGAACGTGTCAGAAGTGCTTCCGTGGGTGGTGGATCGGCCCGTGCCTGCCACGTGTGCTGCGACTTCAAGCAGTCCTGGGACTACCGTGCCTGAGCTGGCACCCAATGGGACCAACACCGATGGTTCGGCAACTAATGGATCGACTCCAAGTGGTTCGACACCCACTGGTCCGGCACCCAATGGGACCAACGCCGATGGTTCGGCAACTAATGGATCGACTCCAAGTGGTTCGACACCCACTGGTCCAACACCCACTGGGTCGACATCAAACAGAACAGGCTTTGAGGAAAAGAGCGCGGGGTTAAGTTTGGTGCTTAGGGGTGGAGCATGGTGGCCTGCTGTGCTTGCTGCCCTGGTGCTCCATGCAGTTATGTTGCATTGAGGTTTTGGAGTTGTTAAGTAGTGGGTTGTCAGGTGGACTGGGTTCGATGCTTTTCTGACGGGTTGAATGAGTTGCTAGTGTTTGTCTTCAAATGTTATGGAAGAGAAGAATCATTTGTTGGGCTGAGAAAAAGGCCCTTAGGATCTTTGCAGGGATAAATTCGGGGTAGAACGATTGTAGTAGCGGAAGCGTTTAATGAAGAAGTTGTGAACCACCTTGCGCTGGTATGTGAGGGCAAAGTAAGTTGATTAAAACAAAGAGATACAAGCATTTATATATGAGTACAAGGAATATGAAAGGATTCAGTTATAACTGTTTTATTGTTGCTGTTGCGGTTCGATACAGTGACGACTCGGGCAACTGCTCTGTAGCGAGTCAGTTGTGTGTCCTTGCTGTCGCGCTGTATTTGTCAGGTCAAAGGTCGCTGACCTTTGACTTTCGCGTAACCTCCAGCAACCTCTTTCAACCTCCGAGGGTTGACTCGCGTGTGCCTCGATATGGTTCGCCTCGCTTCTGGTGTGATGTTTCGACACGACAGAGGCGCTTTAGGATTTACTGTTTCCAACACTCCCCTTCGCTTCTGGAGTGTCGCTGCTCAGCTCATGACGTGGCCTTGTCCAGTCAGCAGCATGCAGTACTCGAACTTCTGCTTTCCGAGCTTCTTGGTCAAATAGTCGGCTGCCATCTCGGACGTGGGACAGTAGGATAGTTCAAGTCTCCCCTTCTCGATCTCGTCCTTCACGAAGAAATATCGCAGGGCGATATGTTTCGTTCTGTTCGCGAATCCATTTTTGTTGGCGATGCGAATTGCAGATTGGTTGTCGCAGAATAGGGTGAAGTTGGGTAACTCGGCTAACTTCGCTTCTTCCAGCAGTTCGCGAAGGTAAAGTCCTTCCTTGGTGGCTGAGCAGAGTGCGATATATTCCGCTTCAGCTGATGAGAGGGCGATTAGTTCCTGCTTACTCGACTGCCAGGAGATAGGACCGATAGGCTCGAGGCGGTAGATGTAGCCGGTGCGGGAGCGCCTATTGTCGGAATCGCCGGCGTGATCGGCATCGACATAGCCGATTAGCTTAGTTGGTGTAGTTGCGTTCTTGTGATACGTTAGGCCGATCGTTGGAGTGCTGACGAAGTAGTGAAGAGCGCGGTTGAGCTCCGCCAGGTCTTCTGTTTCAGGCCATTTGAGGTAAGTGGCGAGCTGGCTTGCGGAATATGAGAGGTCAGGGAGGCAGGTGACAGCTGCGAAGAGAAGACAGCCCAGCTTTCTCTGGTAGTCGCGTATGCCGGCGGGCTTCAGTAGAGTAGATCCTCCCTTGTCAGTTCCTGTCGTGTAACGGTATGGCGTGGAGATTGTGGTCGGTGTGAGAGCGAAACGCTTGGCGATGGTGTCGGCGTATTTTGCGGCGCTGAGGTAGATTGCGTCGTTCTCTTCTCGGATGTTGAGCCCAAGGTACTGTGTGACTGTAGATGAAACCGTGAGCGTGAGATCCCGCTGCAGCTCCCCTTCGAACCAGGTGGTGATGCCGTCGGACGAGCCGATGTAGAGGAGGTCGTCTACATAGACGATTAGCAGGACGTAGTCGTCGTTCTTCGTGAGCCGGTACATCCCCTGATCGTGGGGTAGTTGTTTGAAGCCAATGCGGATGAGACGGGCGTGTAGGTACTGCTGCCATAGCCGCGGGGCTTGCTTAATCCCGTAGAGCGATTTCAGTAGTTGACAGACTTTGTTCGGCTCTCCGTTAGAGCCGTGCGGTAGTTCCACGAAAATCTCTGCGTCAACGGGTGCGTAGAGGAAGGCGTTCGCGACGTCGATTTGCCGCAGCTTCTTCCTTTTCATGGCGGCGATCGCGAGGAGGATTCGAAGTGAGGTGTGTCGGCTGACCGGTGCGAAGGTCTCGGTGAAGTCCCGTCCTTGTTCTTGGTCGAAGCCGCGCACGACCCATCGTGCTTTGAACTTGTCGATGGTGCCGTCAGCTTTCGTCTTTACGCGGAAGACCCATTTCCCGGTGAGAATGGTCTTGTTTCTTGCCACACTGATGGGAACGACTTTCCAGGTGTTCCGTTCCTCCAGCGCTTTTAACTCTCTGTCCATGGCTTCACGCCATTTTTCCCTGTGCTCCCCCCCCAGAGCCTGCTGAACCGTCGCAGGCTCCTTAGGAATGGCGGTGCCGTGGACTGCGGTGACGAGTCCAAGGATCTGGAGCCCACTCTGTGAGTAGCGGGGGAGTGTGGTGTCCTCGGGATAAACTGCTTCGTCTCCCGCTTCTGGTGTAGGATTGAAATTTGGTCCTACTCGTTCTGCTTCGTTGGTGTTGACCCGTGCAGGTGTAACGTAACCGTTGTCGGCGAATTCGTAGAAGACTTCGGCGTTGATGCTTTCGCGAGGATTGTCTTCGTCCATTGGGATGTCCACGGAGCAGTAAGGGAGTGGTCCGGCTGCTTCCGAGGCTCCCTCCACGTTCTGCTCGTCCCAGTCAGCTTCGTCTTCTGCCGAGGCGAAGGCTCGGTGCCCATGAAATCCGCCCGAGAGGTCAGGTCTGTTTTCTTCGATGTACATGAGGTGAGTTCCGAGGGTGAGGTGTTCGTAGAAAACGACATCACGTGCTGCTACTGTTTCCTTGCTGTTGATGTCGAAGATTTTCCACGCGTTGTAATGTTTTGCGATGCCCAGGTGTAGTCCCCACTGTGCGCGTTGAGAGAATCGCCCAGCTCGTGCAGATGGAGGTCGGTACTGTACCATGCAGCCGAAGACTCTCAACATTTTTGTGCTGCCCAATTTTCCTGTCCACAGCAGATGCGGTGATGCGTTGTTCGGGAGCGATGATGACGAAAGCAAGTTGTGCAGCATGACGGCGTGGTCCATTGCTTCGGGCCACTGGTGGTTGGGCAGGTGCATGCCACGTAGCAGCTTGCGCATGGTGGCTTGGAGCGTCCTGTTCATCCTTTCTGCTACGCCTTGCTGTTGGTGAGCGTAGGGAAGGGAGATGAGCCTCTTGATTCCTCTTTCTGCCAAGTACTGCTTGAACCTTTGTGAGGTGTATTCTCCTCCCCCGTCTGACTGAAAGCTTTTTAGCTTAGCTCCCGATTCCCGTTCTGCGACTGGAAGCCAGGCGACAAAGGCTTCGAAAGCCATGTCGCGACTTGGAAGGTTTAGGTGCCAGACATATCGAGTTGCGGCGTCGATGAAGGTGATGGTGTAACTGTAGGCGTTTTGTCCGGGTTCACGGTTGTATAAGATGTCGCTGTACACCTTTTCGAGAGGTGTGTACGCAGGTGCGCTTGGATTGTGATGTGAGACGAACGGCTGATGCGGTAAGTCAGCTTCAGGGCAAGTGAAGCACGTTCCACGGGCTCGCTGAAGTTCTCTGCCGTCGGTCAGTAGAAGTGAGTCTTTGTCGAGCACTCCTGCTCTTATCGTGTTGTTTAACACTGTGTTGCTTGGATGTCCCATTCTTGCGTGCCAGGTACCTTCAGTGGCGCGATGTCCGGGTGATCTCCGATACAGATCGGAGTTGGAGTAGAAGCCGGCGGTGATATTTGTGCTTCGGTGGACTTCGCGTGGTGCTGGATTGAGTTGTTGTGCGGGTGTCGGTGGTGAATCGTCGATGAAGATCGGTGTCGTTGAAGGACCGGCGATTGGTGTCGATGTTCTCGCTGCTGCTGCTGATGTTGTCTCTGCTGCTGCTGATGTTGTCTCTGCTGCTGCCGATGTTGTCTCTGCTGCTGCCGATGTTGTCTCTGCTGCTGCCGATGTTGTCTCTGCTGCTGCCGATGTTTGTTGAATTGTTGCTAACGCCCTTGTTCTCTCTGTTTCAGGAATGGTGTGTGAGTGCCAGAAGCCGCCGGGGCTGAAGTCTGGGTCAAGATCTGGAGGATGTGTCCAAGGAGCAAAGCTGACGATGCCGTCGCTGTCAGCGGTGCCAAGGTCTGGTACGAAGTCAAGAACGAAGACGTTGTTCTTGAGGATCGCCTTTCCGATGTAGAGGCCGCCCTTTCCGTGGTATAGCTTGAACTCCTGGGTGGTGCTGTCTGCTTCGAGGTGGATGCCTTTCGCCATCAACTGACTGACGCTCAGTAAGTTATAGCCGAGGCCTTCTGCGATTAAGACCTTGGTCATTTGTAGAATGACACTTGTTTCTCGTGACTGAAGTTGTACCACGCCTTGTCGTCGTGTGCGCAGGTTCTGGTTGTTGGCGACGGTGATGACTACTTCACGCTGTAGTTGATATTCTCGTTGTACGAAGCGTCCTGAGGAGCACATGTGTTGTCCGCAGCAACTGTCCAAGAACCATGTGTCCTTCCCGGATGGCTCACTCTGGGCGATAGCGGCGTATGTCGGGTTCGGCTGCAGTGACTCGCGGCGGGGCGTGCTGTTGTCAAGCCATTCTTCCGGTGAGTAATGAGGTGGTGATTCGGTGATGCAGGAGTCGGTCAGTCTTGCCATACAACTGACGATGTTTCTTGCGCCTTGTGCAGGTTGTCCCGTTGATGTTGTTGAAGCTTGAACCTGGGTCGCCGGATTCGCTTGCGTTGAAGCAACTTGGCTGCTTGAAGGTCGAAGCTGTCGCTGTTGTGGCGTTGACTGTTGTCGATTCGGGCAGTGTGTGCGCGGGTGCCCTGACGTCTTGCAGATATGGCAGAACGGAGGTACGTGCTTCTGTTGTTGTCGGTTGTTGTTGTTGTTGTAGCGTCGTTGAGTGTGGAATGCGAACTCTGGTACTGATGTCTTTCTCTTGTGTCGTTCTTCTTGCAGGTCCATGTCTTGCTGTTCGGCGTGAATTTCAGCACAGAGCGCTGCTTCGGAGATTCTTCCGTGGGCTCGGAGAATGGCCTTTGTTGCGCGCCATTGAGGACCGAGGCCGCCGATGATGACTGTCACGAAGGCGTCTTCAGAGATTGACCCTCCGCATCGAAGAAGCTTGTCGCGCAGTTCGCGACATCGGCTGACATATGCCATTCCTTTTTCGCCTGGTTTCATTTCGACCGTTGTCAGTTGCGCC